CCGCAGCATGGAGTCAAGGAGCCATCAGCAGAATCGGTGCAGTTGAGAGCTCTGTATAGGCTACGCTAAAGTGACAACAGTTGAGAGAGCCTCCTTTATGGTCCATATGTTGCAGCATTCCCAGCCCGGTCTGGCCAGCTGCAGGTCCGTCCCCCAGCAGGGATGTTTGGGAGTGCTTATTGCTCTTACACATCTTCTGCATTGTCTGCTCCGTGCTGAGATGGTCCCTGTTGGAGAGAAGAACTCTCTTTTCTACCATGCTGGTGGTTATTTGAGAGACTTTTATATGTATATCTAAACTCTAAAGCTTGAATAATTTACCAATTTCCAGGGTTAAGAGGAAGATTTATGATGTTTCCTTCTGGCGGGCGGCAACTGATCTTGCTTCTCGTGGAAAAACAATTGTACTAACGGCTCCTTTCTCTGAGCAGATCCAGGAGCAGCTACTGCCAGTGTACGTCTCCGTGTGGTAAATAGACCTGTCTTCTTGTGCTTTACAGTGTAGTGAAACCTGCCCGCTGATGCCATCGCTCTATGGGGGAGCGCAGCCTGCGAGGAGAAACACAGGGTGTCACCCTTCAAATCTATGGCCGGAATCGCATCCCCCCCCCGCCCCCCCCGGCAGAACCGAGGGGGCCGTAACACGGGGCAAAGATTGATTTCCATTGCTTTTCTAGAAAAGGTCCCGATAGGCCTTAAATCAGACTGAACTGGCAAAGGAGCTTAGCGAACGCTGGAATCTTTCCTTTTGCAAGTATTTGAGATGTGAATAAAACATAACATAGACCTGAATCGCAGTAGTTTAGTGAGCCGGGCGGATTTTTTTTCCACGAATTAGAAGAAACCAATATAGGTCTCTGTAATGAGTACCTGTGAGATGATACTCTCACCGTACTTTGCTTCGGCATCCTGGGCTGCTCTGTGCTCAGGGAATCTGGGGGCGCGGGGGGAATATTTGCGCTTGGCTGGCTCAGCGTGGTGGGGAAAAGGGGAGAGAAGCGTGATGGGGGTCCCCAAAGTCTCCTCTTGCATCAGCTCCTCTATGCATTGGCGGTGGGGCGGACGGGGTACTCACAGGCTCAGCTTTTCCTTCAACTCCGTCTGTTCAGTTTGACTAAATCTTGATGTTTTTTCTTTCACACTTTAAAAGCAGCAGGACGCTACCGTGATGTAGCTCCGAGTAAGACGTGTTAATGGTGTTGGGCACAGAGCAGCTCGGGCTGGGTTCAAGTACGCTCTGGTCTCGCCTTGCTCCATTCCCACTCATGGACTGTCCCCATGGATCAGTGATACTGGTTTGGGTTCCTCAGCTGGGCATTTTCTACCTAGATGGGCTTGGGTGGCTTTTGGCTTCACCTGAACTTTGAGTTTCCAGGGATGTGTCACTGGGGTGAATGGCAATTGCATTACACGGAGTGTGTCACGTGAATACTTGGCGTGTGCCGTCGCCTCCAGGTTCCTGTTAGCAGCGGTTGTGTCCGGGAGTTTTTCTTTGAGGGTCGAGACTTTTTTTAAATTTAAAAAATTGATTTAAAATGCACGGAGGGAGTCCGAGCTGTGAACTGTGAAGAGGAGGAGTCGGGCGCCCTTACAGCTTTGAACCGCTGGAAATTTCAGCTTTGTATCTTTCATAAATCTGGTTTTTTTAGAGCTCGAGTGGCGGGTATGCTCTGCATTGATCCAAAACGGCGTGAAACAACCGGGAGCCAGCAGCGTTCATTCAGGAGAGCATCCCCTCCGCTGTCCTCCCCCTCTGCGCTCCCGCACACCCCCGCGCATCCCCCCGCCTCGGCGTGATGCCCTGCTCGCTCCCGCCCCCACGCCTCCCGCCCCGGCACTTCCCGCTCTGCCTGCGGCTCGCCGGGGGCAGCAGGCAGGGTGCAGACTGCCCTTTGAAAAGAAATCCTGGGAATTAGCGAGAACATATTGCTGTTATTTTGTATAATCACTTTATTTGTAAAGCACAGGCTGCAAAGGTACTCCTGCTGTTGAACTCAAAGCAACAAATCTATATATCCCAGGCTATACTACATTATTAACAGATGGGTGAAGAAAAAAAGCAATAAAAACAAATAATAAGAAAGGTAACAATGATAGCAATTTTAAAACACTCCCAGGGAAAAAAAGAAAAACAAAACACCAAAAAACAGCGTCTACATTTTTTTAAAAGCAGTGTGAGATTGAATGAACTGAACTGCAAGTGCATCCATCCTCAAAGTTAGCATGTAAACATCTCCCGGCAGAGGAGGAATTGCCTTTTTTCCAAGTGGCTGCCTTCCTGCCTCGTCCCTGTTACAGAGGAGATCATAAGAAACCTGGGTGAGATGTCTGGGGTTTGGAAGCTTTTTGAGGTTTTTGGATTTTTTGGAGTTCCTAGGGAGACAGAGGTTGGGAGGGGGAGGACGGTCACTCCCTTGACCATCCGACAGCCAAGAGACAGTCCTGTTGAACTCGCTGGGAAATCACAGACTTCTCAAAAGCACGTGTTTGTTCACATAACTTTCTCTGACAATTATTCTTGTGCCTCTGCTGCAGGAGGAAACTTCGGTTATGAAGAATTGTAGAGAGAAATTACCATTAATCTCATAAAAAACAAATTATTCAAATGTAGGCTTCGCCCGCAATGCCAGTGAGCTCAAAATAGAGGAGAAATTTAAAACATTTATGTTATTTCGTTTCCGAGATCATAAAACACAAGCAAATGGTCTGGCACTGGATGCTAAATTTCTTAAGGAACTCGCTTTAATTAATTAAACTACTAAACCAATTAATGGATTTACTTGTAAATTCTTAGAAAATTAATTCTGTGCCCAAAGAGTGTTTTAAATCTGCGAAGGAGGCAGTGTGTATTTCATACAGAGCTTGAATTCCCCGGTTTAGGTGAATCCAATTCAGCGCCGACTTTGGAGACACAAGCGGTGCATTCATAATACTCGGACCTTCCTCTGAATCCAGGGGGGGATTTGCAAAACAAAACCTGTGCTGCTTTCCCAACACCCGCCCCCGGTACGAGCTCCTGGCTGTGCTGCAGCCTCGCGTGGCGCCTCTGGCCGTGCGTGGATTGCGGGTGTACGTCCCTCCCTCTGCCCCCAACTGCCTTCTTCGGACCCCACCTGGAGGACTGCCTCCAGCTCTGGAGTCCCCAACATAAGAAAGACATGGACCTGTTGGAGCAGGTCCAGAGGAGGCCAATGGAGATGATCAGAGGGCTGGAGTACCTCTCCTATGAGGACAGGCAGAGAGAGTTGGGGGTGTTCAGCCTGGAGAAGAGAAGGCGTCAGGGAGACCTTATTGTGGCCTTCCAGTACCTAAAGGGGCTACGGGGGAGCTGGGGAGGGACTTTTTTACAAGGGCATGGAGTGATAGGACGAGGGGGAATGGCTTCAAACTGGAAGAGGGGAGATTTAGATGAGATATGAGGAAGAAAGTCTTCCCTGTGCAGGCGGTGAGCCCCTGGGGCAGGTTGCCCCGAGAAGCTGTGGCTGCCCCATCCCTGGAGGTGTTCAAGGCCAGGTTGGACGGGGCTTGGAGCAACCTGGGCTGGTGGGAGGGGTCCCTGCCCAGGGCAGGGGGTGGCACTGGATGGTCTTCAAGGTCCCTTCCAACCCAAACCATTCTATGATTCTTCGTCTGCCTTCTTCCTACGTGGCCTCTCTAATCTGACGCAGCGGTATATCGGGTGTGCAGAAAGCGAGTCAGGCAGCTTCCGTAAGCCGCGGATTAAAGCACTGAACATCTGTTGGAGTTGCAGACAAAACCCAACCAAGGCGAAGTGGAGGAGATTTAAACAAAAGCTAATTTACTTTTCCACACGGAAACCTTGTTTAGATTCCCTGCCTGGCTCAGGGGTGACGGGGGCGTCCTCGCTACCTTGCGCTCTTCGCAATCCAAAGTGACACGTACATGAAAAGTTCATAATCGAATGTGTCCAGGCTCCCGTGAACATGAAATCAGAAACAAGCAGGTTCCCTGGGGCTCTCGGCGTTATCGCTTCCCTTCTCTCCTAGCAGGTGAAGCCATGTTTTCCCTTCCCGAGGCAATCCTCCGTGCTGGCTCTCGGCGTCCTTCGCTGGGGCAGGGGGCTGCCCCGCTCCTGCACACCCGGCGGGATGCCGGCTTTGCCCGGCATCGCCCGCGCTGCATCGCCTCGGCTCCGAGGGGGAGCAGAGCTGCGGAGCAATTAGGAACGGGAGCGTTTTGAAGAGGAAAATGGCAGGGGAAAAAAATTAGCATTTGCGCTGTGATGTTTTTGCTGTTTATTAATAAACAAGCAGCTTTTGTGCCTCCGGAGGCAAGAGAGGCTTCAAGCATTCCTTATTGCTCTGGCGTTTAGCTTTTTTTTTTGCTTGTTTTATATGTTACAGGAGATTTGTAATGTCTTCCCACATGTTGAGTTTCCTTATTTTCATGAGAGCATCTCTGGAATAATTCCTCTGGAGCTCTCGGCAATGCACTGCCGGGCTGATTTAAACATCCAGAAACACTTTAGGGATGCAGGGTGGATCAGCAGCTCGTTGGGAAGGAGTCGTGTTAATTAGGAACAGGTTTGCTTCCTCCTACAGAAGCAGAATGACTTCAGGGATAAGTGTTTTCATGGAGAGAAAGCCCTTGCGTGTAGCTCCTGCCACCCAAGACCTGCGTGGTGATGGTGACGGTGACCCCGACGTGGGCGCCCCGGTTGTGCGCCGGCGGCACAGCCCGGCCCCTGTGCACCCCCTTTCCAGGATGGTCGAACCCCTCATCTCCCCCCGGCCCTGTTTGTCACTGGGGTGGGGGGGTCACCCCGGGGTCTTGCGTGGGGGCGTTGGAAACGGACAACCCAATAACAGCCCCATCCCACCCTGTGACGAACTCCTGCGCTGCAGTGGAGAACGTGTCTTGGTTACAGGCGGATCCGCGCCGAAGGAGGCTTCGGGGCACTGCCGCCTGCTCTCCCCTGGGTTGCGGCCGGGGAATTAAAACCCTGCCGTATTGACGGGCTTGTTCTTCTCTTCCCTCAGGCCTCCAGCTCCTCCGGTGGAAAAATGCAGCTTCTGGAAACGGAGTTCTCGCGAACCATCCGGGAGCTCATCGAACTCCACCTGCTCCGCCAGGACAGCATCCCGGCCTTCCTCAGCGCCCTCACCCTCGACCTCTTCAGCCGCCAGACCATTGCTTAGCGTCCCACCGCCAGCCACCAGCCAGGTGTGGAGCACCCCTAGGCAGGACACTTGAGGTAGCAAGGACAAATCCTCCCCTCCCACCCTTAATTTGTGGCATTGGGTTGCTTCTGTTTTGCAGGGAACTCCTTCTTCCCCCTTCTTTCATCCTGATTCCCAAACCACACCGATTCCTCTGAAAAGCATCATTTCCGTCCTGTGGGAGGGCAAGTCTAGCTCCATCCCAGGGCCCTCCTCTGCCAAGACGCCATCCTTTCCTTGGAGCTGGGAAATGTGTTCCTCGCTGCCCACACTGTTTCAGCATCTCTCTGGGAATGCGGTGGGAACTGCTGGTTTTGCTTTTCCCAAAAGGATCCCCCCCAGTTTGGGTCCCAGCAGAGAGACGAGCCTTGCAGGAGGCTGCTGCTACCTGCCCCCTGGTTGTCCTCTCCTAATGAGAGCCAAGGGCTTGGTCCCCGAGGATGGGGACCTGGGGAAGGACCAGGCATGAGTAGCAGGTTCTTTGTGGATACCTCCTGCTCTTGCAAACAGCTCATCCCTCAACAGGGTTGAAATTCTTTTCAAGATACCCAGTTACCCGAGTCTGCCGGCACTCAGCAGCCGAGCACAAGCATAAATGGCCATTTGAAGACGCCATACCTGTGTTGACACATCTATGTTGTGTGGTGTGCTCAGGTGTCGCTGGCGTGCTTTTTTATTCCTTACCGAGACTCTTGGGCTCTCGGTTATCTCAGGATTGCAGAAGACGGGAGGGAGCTCTTTGGGGTGTGCTCGCTGCTGCTGGTTTTGGCCTCCTGCCTGCCACCAGGCTGTGGGTACCTGCTCACCTTGCTGGTGGTCTCCCTCCTCCTCTCCTCCGGGGAGGATGGAGCACCCCCTGAAGCCTGACATGTTGTACTACAATGGATGTAGCTGTTCTAGCATAAGAATAAAGTGTCGCTTCCCAAACTGGATGTATGACTCCTTTATTTGGGATACACACTGTGCTCCCCTTCTGCTCTTCCACATGTAAAGGGCCACAAAGACGATACGAGGGCTGGAGCACCTCTCCTATGAGGACAGGCTGAGAGTTGGGGTTGTTCAGCCTGGAGAAGAGAAGGCTCCGGGGAGACCTTATTGCAGCCTTCCAGTCCCTAAAGGGGCTACAGGAGAGCTGGGGAGGGACTTTTCACGAGGGCATGGAGTGATAGGACGAGGGGGAATGGCTTCAAACTGGAAGAAGGTAGATTTAGATGAGATATGAGGAAGAAATTCTTCCCTGTGTGGGTGGTGAGGCCCTGGGGCAGGTTGCCCCGAGAAGCTGTGGCTGCCCCATCCCTGGAGGTGTTCAAGGCCAGGTTGGACGGGGCTTGGAGCAACCTGGGCTGGGGGGAGGTGTCCCTGTCCAGGGCAGGGGGTGGACTGGATGATCTTTAAGGTCCCTTCCAACCCAAACCATTCTGTGATTCTTTGATTCTGTGATTCCATGATAACAATTTGTCCATCAATGGTCTGATGCTGGTACTGCTTTGAGAAGGGAGGACGTCATTATCTCAGTTTTTCCAGGCAAGTCTCATTCATGCTGTAAACCAGATTAGTTTGTTATGAACTTCTGTGTATATTGATTTCCTCCTGGTATCTGCAGGAACATACTTCCTAAGCTTGGAGAGAAGGCAGCAGTAAGCAAGCTATAAAGTTACCTTAGATGCTCACAGTGGCTGCAGGGTTGGCCACGGGTGCTGGAGTCACTCCGGGACCTATCGATGTGTCTACAGGCACAGAAAATATCTGCTATAGACCCAAGTGATGAAAAGTGGAGGGACAAGCGTGTGCTCTGGGGAGGCTGCAGCCCCCATCTCCCCGACCCTCCTCTCCGCAGGGTTTGCAGAGAAGTTTGCAAAAGTTTGGCGTTTTCTCTTCTGCTTGAAGAAGTCCTGGTGGAAGATGAATTGCCTGGCATGCTGTGCCAGGGGAACGCTGCCTGATTCATATGCGCGACGTGGCACCGAGAGTCGCCTTCCTCAGTCATGGGGAAAATGAATCATGACGTCAGCCGTGTTCGGCTCCTCCGCCAACACAATAGCGGATCCTGGCTGCCTCTGAAAATTTCTCTCCTGGCTCCTCGCAGGAGAAATGAAGTAATTAATAAGTTTACAATAAACCCTCTATCTTAGCAAAACACGGGTGAGGCGAGAAGTGATGCTGAAGAGCGACAAGGGAAAACACGTTCTGCCCATTGGAAAGTTGCCTCCCGGGAGTGAAAGCATAATAAGTTGGGGTAGAAAACACAGTAGTCTTCCGAGATGCCTTCGGTGGGGAGGAGAGACGGATGAATTACCGCTCTGCACCCTTTTCTCCCAGCAAAACTGATTTGTTCAACTAAGTTTAATATGCCGGCACAGCTGGGAGAGGTGTGCCGTGAGGATGGGTGCTTGGCCAGATGTGCCAACGTGGCCCTGCTCAGGGCTTGAGAAGCTGCTGGGGTAACTGTCCTGCTTTGGCCACCAGCATCCCTGCCCTGCTCGTGGCATCACGCCGTTGCACAGCGAGCAGGTTTGGGCACTGGGCAAAACCGGGGCTTTTGGCAGCTCTAAGGCTGGCTGATGGAGGCCTGGGAGCATTCACGTGGAAGCGTGACCATTGCAAAGCCACCTGGGCCACCTGTGAGACACCGGCTTGCGGTTGGGCACGGGGAAGGGGGAGCTGAGGCGTCCCAGTTTCGAGCTCCAACACCAAATTCAAGATGAAGCCCCAAACATATGGCTGTAACCTGCCACCACAGCGGCTCCCGTCTCGGCCGCCGTCATTATACCCCTGAGTCTTCCTAACGCTTACTGTAATCTCTAATATCCCGTGGTAGATTTACGCCATCAATAA